GGGCATGGAGCCTACTTGAGATTCTCTTTCTCGCTCTCCCTCTGGCCCTCCCCCAATGCTTCACCTCTCTCTGTCCTTCCCTGTGTGTGTATTCTCAGATAAAAAATAAAAAATAGATATTTTATTGCTAAAAAATGCTAATTATCTGAGCTCTCTAGTGAATCATGATCTTTTTGGTGGTGGATGATCTTGCCTCAATATTCATGGCTACTGACTAATCAGGGTGGTGCTTCTTGAAGGTTGGAATGGTTGGTTGTGACAATTTCTAAAATAAGGCAAAAATACAGTTTGTTTTATCAATCAACTCTTCCTTTCATGAAGGCAGAATTTCTCTGCAGTATGTGAAGTTATTTGACAGGCTTTTAACCAAACTAGATTTTTTTTCCAAAATTAGAGTCAATCTCTTCAACCCTATTGCTGCTGTAGCAACTTTACGTAGTATTTTAAATTCTTTCTATTTGTTTCAACAATTTTCACAGCATCTTCACCAGGAGTAGATCCCATTTCAAGGAAACACTTTTATTTTTTAATTTTTTAACATTTACTTACTTTTGAGAGACAGAGAACAAGCAATAGAGGGGCAGAGAGAGAGAGATATAGAATCTGAAGAAGGCTCCACCCTCTGAGCTCTCAGCACTGGGCCCGAAGCAGGACTCAAACTTACAAACTGCAAGACCATGACCTAAGGTGAAGTCAAATGCCCAGCTGACTGAGCCACTCAGGTACCTCTCAAGAAACCACTTTCTTTGTTTATTCATAAGAAGCAACTCTTCATCTGTTAAAGTTCTATCATGGGATTACAACAATTCATTCATATCTTCAGTTTTCACTTCTAATTCTAGTTCTCTTATTATTTTCACATTTGCAGTTACTTTCTCCACTGAAGTCTTGAACTCCTCACAGTCATCCATGAGGGTTGGAATCAACTTCTTACAAACTCTTGTTCATATGGATATTTTGACCTCTTCCCATAAATCACAAATGTTCTTTTAATGGCATCAAGAATGGTGAATCCTTCCCAGAAGGTTTTCAGTTTACTTTGCCCAAACCCATCAGAAGTATCACTATCTATGACAGTGATAGTCTTACAAAATGTATTTCTTAAATATTAAAACTTTAAAGTCAAAATTACTCCTTGATCAATGGGCTGCAGAATGAATGCTGTGTTAGCAGGCATGAAATCAACATTAATCTCATTGTACATCTTCATCAGACCTCTTGGGTGACCAGGTGCATTAAATGCACAGTAATATTTTGAGAGGAATCTTTATTTATGAGCTGTAGATCTCAAAAGTGGGCTTAAAATATTCAGTAAACTATGTTGTAAACAGATGTGCTGTCATCCAGGCTTGATTCTTCCATTTATAGAGCACAGGCAGAGTAGACTTAACATAATTCTTAAGAACCCTAGAATTTTCAGAATGGTCTATGAGCACTGACTTCAACTTAAAGTCATCAACTACATTAGCCCCTAACAAGAGAGTCATCCTGTCTTTTGAAGCTTTGAAGCCAGCATTGAGTTTTCCCCTCTAGCTACCAAAGTCCTATAGGGCATCTTCTTTTAATAGGAGGCTGTTTCATCTATACTGAAAATCTGTTGTTTGGTGTAGTCATCTTCACTAATGATTTTAGCTAGATCTTCTGGATAAGTTGCTGCAATTTTTACATCAGAACTTACTACATCTTGCACTTTTAAATTATGAAGACAGCTTCTTTCCTTAAGCCTCGTAAACCAATCTTGTCTTCAGCAGCTCCCCCATCTCTCTCGGCCATCACAGAATTTGAAGAGAGTTAGGACCTTGCTCTGGATTAGGCTTAAGGGAAGACTGTGGCTGGTTTGATCTTAAATTCAGACCACTCAAACTTTCTCCATTTCAGCAATAAGGCTCTTTTGCTTCTTTATTCATGTGTTCACTGGAGTAACATTTTAATTTCCTTCAAGAGCCTTTCCTTTGCATTCACAACTTGGCAGTTTGGTGCAAGAGGCCTAGCTTTCAGCCTACTTTAGCTTTCAACATGCCTTCTTCACTAAGTTTAATCATTTCTAGCTCTTAATTTAAAGTGAGAGATGTATGACACTTCCTTTCACCTGAAGACTTAGAGGTCATTGTAGGGTTATTAACTGTCCTAATTTCAGTTATGTCTCACAGAATAGGGGGACCAATGGAGAGGGAGAGAAAAGGAGGGATGCTGTGTTGATGGAGTAGTTAGAACACAAAAAAATTACTCAATTAATGTTTGTCATACCCAAAACAACTACAATAGTAATATAAAAGATCACCAGTCATAGATCACCATAATAAAGATAATAATAATTAAAAAGTTTGAAATATTGTGAGAATTACCAAAACGTGAGAGAGACATGAAGTGAGCAAATGTTGTTGGAAAAATGGTGTTGATAGACTTGCTTGATGCAGCATTGCCACAAACATTCAATTTGTAAAAAATGCAATATCTGCAAAACACAATGAAGTAGAATTCAATAAAACAAAGTGTCTGTGTTCAACATTGTCTTAAAAGCTCCTGTCAGATCAATTTAGCACTTAAATTGGATAAAATAATCTACGTCAGAAAGAAAACTAAAACTTTTTCTATTTGGAGATGGCATAATCTTTTTTTTAATATAATTTATTGTCAAATTGGCTTCTATACAACACCCAGTGCTCAAACCAACAAGTGCCCTTCTTAATGCCTGGAGATGGCATAATCTTGTATAGAAAACCCTAAGGGCTTTTAAAACATTATTATAATTAAAAAATGAGTTCTATAAAGTTGCAGCATTTATAATAAATGAAATGAAATCAATTATATTTCTATAAACTTATAGTGAACTGTTCTAAAATAAAAATAAGAAAATAATTATATTTATAATAGCATCAAAAAATAAAATATTTAGGAATAAATTTTAAAAGATGCACAAATTTCTGAAAATCAGAAAATATTATTGAAAGAAATCACAGAAAATCTAAAGGAATGAAATTTTGTATATCTTTGCGTTTAGATGTTATTAAGATGGAAATACTCCCTAATGTGACCTACAGATTCAATTAATCTCTATCAGAATCACAGGTAGTTTTTTTGTAGAAACTGTTGAAGTGACCCTAAAGTTTATGTGGAAACTCAAGGCATCCAAAGTATACAAAAAAATCTTGAAAAAAATAAAGTTGGAATACTCACTCTTCTCCTTTTCTAAACTTCTACAAACTAAAGACACTGGTACTTAGGAAAGACAGACATATACATCAATGGAACAGAATGAGAATCCAGAAAAACACCCTTACATTTATGGCCAACTGATTTTCAACAAGGGCGTCAAAACAATTCAATGAAAAAAAATCTCTTCAGCAAACGGTGCTATATATCCACATGCATAAAGTTGGACCCCTACCTCACAGTCTATACAAAAATTAACTTAAAAGGGATCATCCAAATGTAAGACTTAAAATGTAAGACCTAAAACACAATAAAGAAAATCAAAGGTATAAGTCATTGTGACCTAGAATTAAGAAATGTTTTTTTAGATATGACACCTACAGCACAAACAAAAATAACAACAAGAATAGGTAAATTGGAGTACATCAAAAATTTTAAACTTTTGTACTTTAATGGACATCAAGAAAGTGGAAAGACATCCTAAACAATAGGAGAAAAATATCTGCATATCTTATAATGGGACTTAATCCAAAATGTGTAAAATCATTCACAATTCATCAATAAAAAGACAACACAGGTACAAATAGGCAAAGGATTTGATGACATTGTTCCTCAAAAAGCATATATATAAGTGGCCAATAACACATGAAAAATTGTTCATCAAAATCAATCATTAGGGACATGTAAATCAAAACCACCATGAGATATGTCTTCAAACCCACTAGGGTACCTAGAATTAAAAAGACAGACAATAACAAATGTTGACAAGAATATTGAGAAATTAGAACTCTCATACACTGCCAGTGTTAATGTAAAATGTGCTACCCACGTAAAACATTTTGCTGTTCCTCAAAAATTTAATCATAAAAATGCAAATAAATAGCTAAACTAAAAAAAAAAATTCTCCCCAGTTTGTATTTTTTCTCTCTTTTGCTACCATCTTTTCTTCATTTCTCTTTCTCTCAGCTCTAATTTCATAATCTGATTACTTGGAATGCAATCTATTTAAAACTCACTCTTATATTCTGTAGTAAATGTTTTTCTAAAACACATCTTTCTCTTATGATTGATGCTCATCTTGCATTTATGTTGTCATCTCTTATTTATTTCTTATTTTAATGTACCTGAATGAGAGTAAATCTTAAAATATTTGCTTCAAAACAATGTAATAGATTCTGTAATAACTTAAGTGTGTTTATAAGCACTTAGAATCATCCTTTTAAATTTTGAGCTGGAAGCATAGGTTTGTGCATTTATTTTGTAAGTTTAATTCTGATATAACCTGAGGAAACTACAGAGAATAATGAGACTTTATTTAGAGCCAAAAAGAAAAAATTTGAGTCCATATATTTTTATTCTAAGTTTGTTAGAATCATAGACTAGAAATAGATGGTTTCCACAACTCAATTTAAAATTAAAATTTTATCTATCTTTATCCGGAAGAAAATGTTGTCATGTCCACCATAACATGTCTTTCAACACTGGAGGGAAAGAGTCCATCTAATTATTGTCAATTGATTCTGAACCTAAAGAATTAGGTGTATTTAAATAGATCAAGGACCAAATAGGAATATGTGTGTTACAATTTGCAGAGTTTATGATACTGGTATCAACTGGCATTTCTTGTATTCCTGAGATTCTTTTTTGTTTTTAGTTTAGAGACAGCCTCCATAAATAAAATTCTAAGTATTTCAGTAGAAACAAATAAAAATAATCAGTATGGGTGATGTTTATACCATTAAATAAAGAAAAATAAACCCGAAATTAAAGTTGATTCTTGTCTCAAACCAGGTTAATGTTTCTTTCATGTTAGATTTTAGAGATAAAAAGAAAAATCTCTTCAATCTGTCACATCTTGAGCATTTATATAATCTTGATTATGTCTTTTTGTAATCTTCAACCCACGGTACAATGGATGCAAACACCAGGGACAATACCCAATTGTCCACCTGGATTGGAATATCTGACTCAGGTATGGTAATGTGTTTCTCATTGGAGTGCCAAGAATATGAATTTGATAGTTTCAAAACACAATGTGTGTTACAGGAAAGCATTTTGAATGCAGATTAAAATACTATACCTGTAACATTTAGATTTTTACATTTAAATTTAAGTTTTGGTTGAGGTAGTAAATTTACATTGTAAATAAAATAACATTGTCATTTACAAATGTATTTCCTGGAAAGTCCATTTAAAAATAAGTACCTGCTTTACATGCACCCCAATGTTTATAGCAGCACTATCAACAATACCCAAAGTACAGAAGAGCCCAAATGTCCAATGATGGATGAATGGATAAAGATGTAGTGTATATATACAATGGAATATTTATTACTTGGCAATCAAAAAGAATGAAATCTTGCCATGTGCAACTACGTGGATGGAACTAGAAGATATTATGCTAAGTGAAATTTGTCAGTCAGAGAAAGATAAATATCATATGACTTCACTCATATGAGGACAAAGATACAAAAGATACAAAGCAGATGAATATAAGGGAAAGGAAAAGTAATATAAAAACAGGAATGGGGACGAAACAGAAGAGAGCCAAATATGGAGAATAGAGGTTTAGTGCAGGGGTTGTGGGGGGGGGGGATGGGCTAAATGGGTAAGGGGCATTAAGGAATCTACACCTGAAGTCATTGTTACACTATATGCTAACTAACTTGGATGTAAATTTTTTTTAAAAATGAAAAAAAAGTACTTGCTTTTTAAAATAGGAAATTGGATTTTGAGAATGTAAGTAAAAACCAGCTTCAGGCATCTTCAGTTCATCTAACTGCGTAGGTATTAGAAGCCTGGTATGCAAACATGAAATGTGTGCACTAATACTAGGAAGATGTCTCCAGTTCTCTACCAAATTTAATGATGCTGCATTACTATTTTGTTTATTAAATCAATTCTGATTTAATTTCCTGTAGTGCTGTTTCTGAATAATTAACTTTGGCATTTCAAATGACTATTTCTTGGTCACATCTTCTTTTTCAATACTTTAAAAACTAAACAGTATATATGTTCCTTCTTAAAAAGTTTATTTACATTTTCAGTGCTTAATTATAAACTTGTCACAGCAATGATATCAATCTAAGAAGATTCAATGTTGAATGTGGGTAAAGGGTAAAAACTACATTATATTTTTTTACTCCAAATTATAGTATAGAGATTTCTCTCTGAATTAAAAAATTATTTTTTAATAAGTCTTCAAAAATTTTTGTGAACCTACTCTACAGACTGATAGTTTTTCATTTCCCTTTTCAGTATTTTATGTTTTCATTTTAATTCCAGTTAGTTAACATATAGTGTTGTATTAGTGTACAACATAATGATTCAACACTTCCATACAACACCTGGTGCTCATCACAAGTACACTCCTTAGTAACCATCACCTATTTAACCCACCCCCCCTTCATTTCCTTTTCCTGTGGTTAAAAAATAATGTTAAAACTTCATGTTTAAATTAATTGACAAATGTTTCTCCTTAAGAAAGCCTTAACTATGGAAAAATGTTTTAATATTTTCTATACTAATAAACAGAAAGTTGTAATTCCCTTTCTTAGTGTTTGGGGGTATGTCTGCATGTATTTCATACTTATTAAGCTCATTTAGCGGGGGTATATTTCGTAAGCAATGCACCTTTATCTGCAAAGGAGCAGATCTTATCAATCTCCCAATTTCTCTCTGTCTAAAATTCCTCACCTACCAGATCTGGTTTATTTTTATTTATTTAAAAATTTTTTTAACATTTATTCATTTTTTTGAGAGACAGACAGAGACAGAGCATGAGCAGGGGAGGGGCAGAGAGAGGGAGACAGAGAATCTGAAGCAGGCACCAGGCTCTGAGTTGTCAGCACAGAGGCTGATGCGGGGCTCGAACCCACAATTGTGAGATCATGACCTGAGCTGAAGTTGGCCATCTAACCAACTGAGTCACCCAGGAGCCCCCCAGATCTGGTTTAAAGAAATGCTAGAATGATTTCAAAACCTAGTAAGTGTTGTGTATGTGGGGACACAGCAACAATTCATAAATGATACCATGTGGGATCTGAGTATTGCCCAAGTTGTTTTTTAAAAATTTTTAAATATAAGTCATGGTAATAAGTGAAGAGCAGTTGAAACCTAAAGATGCTATACACTGTATAAGACCAACTCATAATGTGACCCATTTTTAAAATTTTTTTATTAGAGAGAGAGGGCACATGCATTGGGGAGGGGCAGAAAGAGAGGGAGAGAGAGAATCGCAAGTAGGCTCCACATTCTTGGTTTTGTGAGATCATGATCTCAACCCAAATCAAGAGTCATGCTTAACAGACTGAGTCACTCAGGTGCCCCGATGTGACCAGTCTTACACATAGACCAGAGGGTCCTGCCTCCTTTGAAATAACATTCACAGTGCACAGATGATTGCATTTTGACTCTCTCTTCGTTCACATTTTCTTTTCTGCTTTATGTTTTATAGTGATTCAACACTTCCATACAACACCTGGTGCTCATCACCAGTACACTCCTTAGTAATCATCACCTATTTAACCCACCCTGCCACCCATCTTTTCAGATATCTCATGCTCCAGAATTAAGACGGTTTTGTTATTTTTTATCAGCCTTGCAAGCCCTTTATTGATTCAGAGTGTTTGCAGAGAAATACAGTGAAGCTCTGGAAGTGAGGTATCCCTCACACGTTCCCCTGCTCCTTCCAGTGTTCCGGATGAGAAGCTGGACAACACAACAGTAAAAACTAGAAAGGAATCAAAATCTTTGAGGCTAATAGCCTCCACTTAGAAGGACTCTTGACTGACTTTGACTCTATCACCACTGTATTCATGAAACAAAATATTTAAGCTCTTCATGTGCATGTAATACCTGCTTTTGCTTCCATTGTTTCAAGCTCATTTGTGTTTTTGTCTTTGTAGTAGTCATGTTTGTCTTTGATAGCTACAAACTAAAAAGGTACTTTTATCAACAAGGTTTCTCAAAAACATTAAAGAACTAGCTTTGAGGAAATCTAGATTGTTCCTGGCAGCAGCATTTGGATTAGTAATTGTATTTTCTCACTGTGATGTTGGTCTTTGTAAATAATCAACATAGTGACTCTTCAGTTCATTTTTTTTTTTTTAGTATAACTGACACACAATATTATATGAATTTCAGATGTCTAACTTAGTGATTTGACAAGTTTGTACTCTGTGCTACATTTACAAATGTAGCTGCCATCTGTGTCATTACACCCAATGCTATTACAATATCATTGACTATATTCCTTACGCAGTGCTTTTTATTCCTGTAACTTATTCATCCTATAACTGGAAACCTTTTCCTCCCACTCCCCTTCACCTATTTTGCCCAACTCCCCACATCCCACTCCCCTTGGCAACTATTAGGGTTTTTTTTCTCTATTTATAGGTCTGAATCTGCTTTTCATTTGTTTTGGTTTTTGTTCTTGTTTTCAGATTCCATTTATGAGTAGAATCATATGATATTTGTCTTTCTCAGTCTAACTTATTTCACTTAGCATAATACCTTCTAGGTCCATCCATGTTGTCTCAAATGGCACAATTCCATCTTTCTATGGCTGTGTAATATTCCATTGTGTATATATACTATATTGTTCTTATCTATTCATCTATTGATGGACATTTAGGCTGCTTCCAAACCTTGACTATTGTAAATAATGCTGCAGTAAGTCTAAGGATGCATATATCTTGTTTTACTTTTAGTCTCTGTGTAACTGACCAGTGGCAGGGAATTCCAATTCCTCTCTTTTCCTTTTTGCGTTGTCTATTTGTAGAATTGTCAGATAAAATACAAGACACTCAATTACACCTGAATTTCAGATAAACAAATATTTCTAGGTTAATGTTTCATGCATTATTTGGTATATATTTATAGTAATAATTATTCATTATTTAGATTAAATTCATACTTAACTGAGCAGTCAGGTGGTTTTGCTTTGTTTTGTTAGATCTGGCAACACTATCAATTTGGTCACAGAAAACTGCTTACAGCATGTACAGTCTTCTAGTCTTCACTATATTTCACATGGAATGGAAGACCTCTGTTCCTACATCCTCTACTTCCCAAAAGAGAGCACTGAAGAGTTTTATCTGGTTGCATGATGGGCTTGGGTTTCTAGTTAAGATCTCTTTATAATTATATTTAAATTGTAATTGTGCTTTGGATAAATGTCTAACAGTACTTGTAATTATTTAATATTCAATGAAAACATTTTTAGAGTATACTGTGTATGGGTGCCCCCCCAAAAAAACCCACTTTACACTTAGACAATATATGACATTTGATAGAAAATAGAGAGATGTCAATAATGGGTCAATTACTTTAAATGTCCTAAATATAGGTATTAATGTATATGTGTATTGGTAGGTGCTTTAAGTTTAATTACTTCATACTACCTATCTTTATTTTCTACTTTATTAGATAAATCAGTTACTAGTGTGTCAACGTTTTGATCTTCTGGAAGGTATGTACCAAACATGCTGATATATTCATTCTTGAATATGTAACTTGTGCTGTAGTTCAGTCATTCCCTATAAATTAAAGTGCTTCATGTGACTGGGGAATAATAAACCTTGAAATACGATGAAAATATATAGGAAGTCATAGTCAATGATAAGATAAATACAGTAGTACAAAGTACAATAAGATAAATAAAATAGTACAAAGGTATTGGCTCGAGATCACTCCTGAAAATTCTAGTCTGTATTTTTAGTCTTGGTAAACAGTAGGTCTTTTTCCTAAAAGGAGTTTCCCATTCTAAATTCCTCAGATACAGGTATTTCAGAGAAGCTGAAGTTTCTGGGCAGTTCAATTCCACTCCCAAGTCTGAGAAATTGTTCTTTTTTTTTTAATTTTTAAAAAATGCTGTATTTATGTCTGAGAGAGAGAGAGTGTGTGTGTGTGAGCAGGGGAGGGTCAGAGAGAGAGGGAGACACAGAATCTGAAGCAGGCTCCAGGCTCTGAGCTAGCTGTCAGCACAGAGTCCAACACGGGGCTCGAATCCATGAACCATGAGATCATGACCTGAGCCTAAGTCGGATGCTTAACCGATTGAGACACCCAGGCGCCCCAAGAAATTGTTTTTTAGGATGCAACTGTCTACCTCTATCTCCTCAACTTAGTACAAGTATTTGTTTCATGTACATGAGGCTATAATACACATAAATCAAATTAAATCAATGTTTAGTTAAAAAAATTATCACCATTGTAACCCTTCAAATACACATTAGAGAATCTAAGACTAAAAGAGACATTTACGATTTAATTTTATTCATAAAAGCTTTTCAATTTTGGCATATTAAAAATTAATTGTTTTTCCCTGTTGCCTTGCATTGAATAACTTATTTTATGAATGACCATTTATTCCAGAATTCCCACTGAATACTTATAATGAACAAGACACACAGTAGTCATTTGAGAAAATCAAAGGAGACAGGCCTGGGCTTTCCCTGAAATGTGGATGAATATACTTAAATAAAATACATAGTATGGAATCATAAAATTAATGAGAAGGAAAAACTAATTGTGAGAATTCATAGGATAGAAACAGCCATAGTTATAATTTATAATACTTATAATACTTATAATTTAAGTAGCCACAAAAATATCAAGAGAAATCTAACCATCTATGTTATAGAGAACTAATCTATAGGTTGCGAGACTGCCAGCATCAACATCATCTGGGAACATGTTGGAAATCAAGTTCCCAAGCTTCATCACAGATCTACTAAATCACAAAATCTAGAGGCGAGGTTCAACAATCTATTTATCAAGCCCTCCAGATGGTTCTGATGCAGGCTAAATGTAAGAATGTAAGAATTGTAAGATGTAAGAATTACTGACTGCTCTAAATTATACATTCATATAATTTAACATTGTGCATTTATTTAAATGAATGAGACAGCTCTACAGAATCGTCAGGAATAGCTCCAAGGTATATTGACAAATATCAAAAGCAATTACAAAGTAGTGCATATAATAATAGTGTGTGTGTGCATTAAATTTTTTTTTGCATTTTAAAATTTGTGCCATGCATATGTAATTCCTACTCATAAGAAGGAATTAAATTTAAAAGGCAATCAAAATATTTTTTCATCAATATTGAATCATGATTTATCTTTGAATATTAAATAAAAATGAATACCTTTCAAATATGTTTTTATAATATGAAAGCAATTATGTTGAGAGGCCCACAAAATCATTAAAAATGATGAAATTCTGTAAATACCTGTTTCAAAGGTTAACATTAAAACAAAATGCTAAATGTATATTAGTCTAACATACTTACTAAAAATATTCATTCAAGAATATCTGAAACTTTAATGAAAAGTAGGAAAAAATGTCATCCTTGTATAACTACTGATATATTTCCTTTGAAGGCTTAAAAATATTCTGTTGAGGGGCACCTGGGTGGCTCAGTCTGTTAAGCGTCTGACTTTGGCTCAGGTCATGATCTCATGGTTTGTGGGTTCGAGCCCTGTGTTGGGCTCTGTGCTGACAGCTAGCTCAGAACCTGGAGCCTGTTTCAGATTCTGTGTCTCCCTCTCTCTGAACCTCTCCTGCTCACATTGTCTCTCCCTCTATCTCTCTCAGAGATAAATAAAAAACATTAAAAAAGAAATTTTAAAAAATAAAAATATTCCTTTGATCAATTTTTAAATCACTTTTAGTCATTGTCCATGCAATTTTTAAAAATATATTCACATAATGGCTTTTGTTGTTTTTCTTTATCTTAAAACTCAACCTTTTTTACATATCAAGTTTTTATTTAAATTCTACTTAGTTAACATATGTGGTAAACTGGTTTCAGATGTAGACTTTAGTGATTCATTACTTACATATAACACTCAGTGCTCATCACAACTAGTGCCCTCCTTAATACCCATCACCCATTTAGCCCATCTTCCACCCCCTTCCCTCCATCAACCCTCAGTTTGTTCTCTATAATTAAGAGTTTCTTATGGTTTGCTTCCTTCTTTCTTTTTGTTGCTCTTTCCTCTATGTTCATTTGTTTTGTGTCTTAAATTGCAATATGAGTGAAATCATATGGTATTTGTCTTTATCTGGCAATGACTTATTTCACCTAGCAAATAAACTCTAGCTTCATCCATGTCATTGCAAATGGCAAGATTTCATTCTTTTTGATGGCTGAGTAATATTCCATTATATATATATATATGTTATATATATATAATACATATATTATATACATATATAATTATATAATTGCATAATTCCATTATATACATATACATATATATACATACTACATCTTGTTTATTCATTCATCAGTTGATAGACAGACTTTTTTCCATAGGTGGGCTATTGTTTATAGTGCTGCCATAAGCACTGGGGTGCATATGCCCCTTCAAATCAGTGTTTTTGTATCTTCTGAGTAAACACCCAGGAGTGCAATTGCTGGGTCATAGGGTAGTTCTATTTTTAGTCTTTTCAGGAACCTCCATAATTAAAACCCAAAATTTTAGAAAGCAACACAATAATCCTCAAAGGGGATACTATTATTGCCTTGTGTTGGGTATTTACTTTGTTTCCATTTTACTTTTCCTTTTCTAAGTAGAGCAAAAGTGAACATTTGGTAAAGAAAGCACTTTAAAAAAATTAGGACTGTTTTCTCTGTATGATCACAGAAGTAAAATGATTAGGACAAAAGATAATATTTCCATTTGCTTACACAAGAGATGAATTTGATTATTATCTTATGTGGATGATATACAAGTGTTTACTGTCTCCTTCAACTAAGCATCAGTAAAATACTTTTTCTTCGGTTCTACTATCCAGATTCAAGACTGAATGTCTTTTTCCTATCCTCAGGAAGAAAAGATGAAGAGGAGCAGAATTTAATATAACTCAAAACACAATAGTAAAATGACAGTAAATAGGGTTGATTTCTCAGAAATTCAAAATGATTTTTTAAAAAGCTATGTATGGAATTTTAGCAGTAAAAGGGATCAGAGAATAGCTAGCACACCTCTTTTAGTTTTTGTAAGGCAAAACTAAGATAGCAGTGAAGATAAGTGACTTAGAACCAAGTAGTTTATTATCGAAGATAAGTTGCATATTTGCAGGTAATTTAATAGGCAATTTACAGGTCTCCCATCACTAATAAAATGCCACATTGTTTGATTCTTTAGTTCTCAGTTGTTTTGCAACTAGCAAAAAATATGAAGTTACGAACAGTCAAGGACAGAGAATTTATTTTGCAGAAGACAGAAGTAATTGTTTCCTGCGATACCTCTGTGGACCATCAAGACCTTTTACCATGACAATTTATGATAATGTAGGCCGTGATGTCATTACTATCCAAAGAACTCTAAGAAGTCGTTGTTGCTGGAGAAACTGCTCTGTACAAAAGGTCAGTAAATATTGTTTCTACATGATTTAGAATGTATTTGAATTCTTTCAAAAAAGCCTCAACACTGAGCGTATGTTAAAGCATTGGGTTTGGCTACAAAGAAATTTCCAGAATGAACTATGTTAAAGAATTATATATATGTATATATATACCTGCAGAGTGAGAATAATATAAAACACTGTAAATATTTTTCAGGCAATGAAGATCACAAGATATTTAGGTCTTCAGAAGTTTTCTATTCTAGGGGCGCCTGGGTGGCTTAGTCGGTTAAGCGTCCGACTTTCCTTAGGTCATGATCTCGCGGTTCGTGGGTTCGAGCCCCGCGTCGGGCTCTGTGCTGACTGCCAGCTCAGAGCCTGGAGCCTGTTTCAGTCTGTGACTCCCTCTCTCTCTGACCCTCCCCTGCTCACGCTATCTCTCTCTCTCTCTCTCTCTCTCCTAGAAATAAATAAAACATTAAAGATAAGTTTTCTATTCTAAAATATTGTGGTTTTTATTTGCATTCCTCTGCACGCACTTTTCAGCCTTTGAATGGAGTGCCAACGAATTAGGGGCTGTGAAGTTCAATCCTATTTTCAGCAGTGTTTCTCAGACTGGTCCTTTGAGCTATCACTGAATGGGATCCCAAATGTATATTTGTACAGTATACATGTGTCTTTTTAACACAATTGGCATATATTCTATAATTTTTAAAAATAAAACAATGTAACTTGAAGATTACATCCGTATGCACAGGGCTTCTTCCTTACAAAATGGTTGGATAATAACCCATCATATAGATGGCACACCATAATTTATACAACCAATCTCTGAACTGGGCTTTAAATCACAATAAACAGTGTTTCAGTGAATTCATATTTACATTTGCAAAGAGGGACAAAAGTCCTTCACATATTGGTAACAGAATGGTTGTTGGTGTGATTGGGGTTTAAGACATGTCTCATGGGCATGGCAATTTAAAAAGTGACCTTCATAAACACCTTAGAAATATTATTACCCCCACTTTTGCAAATGGAAGATGAATTCCAGGGAGTTTAGTGACATGTCCATATTTCATGTAGTAAATAAGCAGCAGCATCAGGTCTCAATTTGGAGGTTTCAATATCTAAAACCTTGGTTTTTTCACTTCCGTGTCCATTCCCAAATTATAGGGCATGCTTTAAACACAGAAAGTTATGTTCACATATATAAAACACTAATGAGTAGTATGTAACTGATTTGTTGCTTACAAATCAAAATAAATCTCATTGATCAATACTACATTTCTCAATCATTTGTAGCTAAAAGTTGAAGCTCCTCCTGGTGAAAAAATTGGATATGTGTATCAATACTTTCACCCATTTTTGCCAATGTTTGAAATAAAAAATGAGAATAAGGAGGATATAATGAAAATCAGAGGGCCATGTGTGGTTTCCAGCTGTCTCAAGGATCTAAATTTTAATGTGAGTAATATATTTTAAGATAATCATGTTCAAATTGGTTATTTGAGTATTTTCTAATACATTAATAAATCTCATTAAAATAAGATAAAACATGTTATCATGTTATAACTATTTATTTTTTAAACTGAATTTCTAACACATAGTTTCCTTGCTTCATTGAGTCTTACACACTTATGTGATTATAAGGCATCTTTAAACATTTTTTTTTACATTTATTTATTTTTGAGAGACATAGAGAAAGTACGAGCAGGGGAGGGTCAGAGAGAGAGGTAGACACAGAATCTGAAACAGACTCCAGGCTCCGAGCTATCAGCACAGCTATCAGCACAGGGCTCGAACTCACAAACCACAAAACCATGACCTGAGCTGAAGTGGATGCTTAACTGACTGAGCCACCCAGGCGCTCCATAGGCATCTTTTGAAGCTGTATTTCAAGTATGTAGTTATTAAACAACAAGTATGGTATTTAATATTTCAAGGAATATTGAAAGAAAAATAAGCTTTATTGCAATGAACAATGACATAATTGGGCATTAATTATAAATAATATATTCATGTTAATTTTTATAAAATTTGAAACCGGGTTATGATACAATTTTGTTAAATGTTTATGTGCTTACTGATACATTTCTCAGATTGTGGCCAATATTCAGATAATAATTTGGGAAGTTAATTACTAAAAATACTAAATATAGTTAACAAAACTAAGCAACTCACTACACTTAGGAATGTTGCTTAAGAATCCATATTTAACTAAGCAATATTCCTAAGAATATTGTTGATTTCATAAAATATTTGATTTGAAAAAAGTACTGTTTCTCAGTCTTTTAATAAGGACATGTTTGCTTGTTTTTTTCTTTAACTCTGAAATCATATCTACCTGATTTTTTTTCCTTCTCTAGAATTATGTTAATTCAGTTTAGTGATACTTATTCTGATTGGCACCAGCATGTACTGATTAAGTAAAACATATTTTAAGCAAATGAATTATGACAATAACATGGTTAGTTTGATAAACCTGAATAATGAGCACACAGGACTCTACTCTTTTGTATTTCAAGTTGAAAACCAATGGAACAGAGTGGCCAATGCATAAAACTCTAGAAGCCAAAGCTACAGTGATTCATTATTAATGATATCAAAAAATAAAATGTTTTCCATGTGCTATTTTATATCTCACATGATATAATAAATCCTACTTTATTCAGATATCATGAGAACTTTCTGTAAGGTGTATTAAACACTTTCTTCTAAGTATGAAGCAAAGTCATTTTATAGCTGGCACTCTTTGGGTAAGCTCTAAGAATGAACAAGAAAGGGAAGTCACAATTCTGTGAAAAAGTAATTCTGTGAATGAGTGTGGGCAGCCCTTTCAATACACTTGCTTACGAAGAAGAGAAAAGAAATAAAGGAGTAACTAGTTACAGGACCAGGGACTATGGTAAGGGAAATAACCATTCATCTAGGGAACAAAATTTAAGAAGCACCAAAACCCTTAATAATTAAGATAAATGATACTTGGATGTAATATTTTTTAAAATAAAAATTATTGCAAATCCATTATGAACAAATTTATAAACAAAAACTTAAGGCAGAAACTGACTATGCACTTGTATGACTTATCTCACTGCTTTACCCTAATCCTGTTCCTGGCTGAATGGGGGCACAGGGAGCATGGGAAAGTATTTTTATGAAAGGTATATTCTTAGCATGTTTTGATTTTAAAGGAAAGGAGCCAAATGGGAGGGAAAGTGTGGAGAAACAGCAAAGGTTAAATATTTGATGAATCCTGTCTCTTAGTTGGTGTGGGGCCTAATACACATGTTCCTAGGAAATAAGCCTCAAATAGGCACAGAGTCTATTCATCATAGTCATTGTCGAAGGATTTAAGGAGTGTTGGTATGGATAGAATACTTCCTGTGTCCACTTATATGTAGATATTTCTCTCTCTGTCTCTATCTATCTATCTATCTATCTATCTATCTATCTATCTATCTATCTATCTACCTATCTATCTATCTATCTATCATCTATCATTTATCTATCTATCATCTATCTATCTATCTATCTATCATCTATCTGTCTACACTAATGTAAATGTATTTTCCTTATGACTTTCTCAATAACATTTTCTTTTCTCTAGCTTACTTGTTGTAAAAATATAGTATAGGAAGGGCACCTGTGGTGGCTCAGTCAGTTGAGTGGCTCTTGATTTCAGCTCAAGTCATGATCCCAGGGTTGTGGGATTGTACCCCACGTCAGGCTCCACACTAAGCATGGAGCCTGCTTAAGATTCTCTCTCTCTTTTGGGGTGCCTGGTGGCTCAGTAGGTTGAGTGTCTGACTTCAGGTCAGGTCATGAACTTGCAGTTGGTGGGTTCAAGCCCCGTGTCAGGCTCTGTGCTGACAGCTCAGATCCTGGAGCCTGCTTCAGATTCTGTGTCTTCCTCTCTTTCCACCACTAGCACTCTATCTCTCTCTCAAAAATAGGTAAACATTTTTTTAAAATCTCTCTCTTTCTCTCTCTGCTCTACTCCTCCCACATGTGCATTCTCTCTCTAAAATAAAAAAAAATACAGTATATGAAAAATATAACCTACAAAATATGTGTTAATTGACTATTCATGTTATTAGGTAAGATGACTTTCTAGGAATTAGTCAGTTCCCATCCAGTAGTTTCTATTTTCTTTGCAATGTAAAATATAAGACATTAGGCTGATGATGAGGAAGAGTGGCATTGTCAGTTAGTTATGAAAACACTGGAGAAATTTTGACAAAGTTTCACAAAACCCTTCCATATTTTTCTTTTCCCAAATTCCTTAACATTTCTTACAAGACTATGTAGGATCCATCTCTGTATACCTCTCTTTTCTTACTAATTTTCTGCAACTAGCTCCAGCCCTCACTTTGCTCCAGCCCTACCCAACTCAGGGCCTTTTCACCTGTTGCTGACTCTCTAGGACGCCGTCCCTCTCCCTACTCCTCTGATCACTAATTCCTACTGATCCTCTAAGTCTCAACTTAAACGGTGCTTTGCCAAAGGGGCTTCCTGTAAAATCACTGCCCTCACCTCCATTCTTTTAGCCTGCTTATTATCTCCCAACTGTATTCCATTACATCAGCCTACCTTTTCCTCCATGGCATTCATTACCAGACAAATACTAAGAGTTACAACAGATAAGTATATTGTCTTATATAAATATTGTCTTATATGAATATCTCTTATATTGAGAGATAAATATTAGTTGGTATGAGAAGTGATGTTCTAGTTGATTTAGATGAGTAGGGAGAAAAGGGGATGAGAAAGGGTAGAGGGATTCAGAAAATTAAGATCTTTTAAGAAAGAGCTAACTGTGTAAAAGAGTGGAAAAACTAGTGGCTTTCATTTAGAGTTAAATTGATTCTCAGGTCCAATTTAAGCAATTATATAGTAAGCATATATATTGATATAATTTATATGTAATGTATGTTATCATATATAAAATAACATATATCATATATAGCTGGCCTTTGAACAACACAGGTTTGAAATGCACTGGCCCACGTATATGCAGATTTTTTCCAATAAACACAAGTACAGTAGCATAAACATATTCTCTCTTCTTTATGATTTTCTTAATAACATTTTCCTTTTTCTAGCTTACTTTATTGTAAGAATAAAGTATATAATACATATAACATATTAATTGACTTTATGTTATCAATAAGACTTCTAGTCAATAATAGGGTTTTAGTGGTTAAGATTTTGGGGATCAATTGTTATATGCAGATTTTCAACTGCCCAGGGGTGTTAGCACCTCTTACCCCTGTGTCATTCAAGGGTGGACTGTATAATCAGTTGTATACAATCAATTTGTTTGATAGATACTGTCTGTAGATGTTTTTTCCAAGTTATTATGTGTCCATAGTGCACATTATATATTTTAGACAGATAGATAGATATTATCATAGTTGTTTCTAGATAGATATTGTCTGTAGGCATTTTTTCCAAGTTATTATGTGTCCATATTGCACATTCTTTTTATTTTAGGATGTGACCAGCATGATTATAACTCATATGGGTCATATTTAATTACTAAAATTTAGGTAGGAATATCTATTTTTTATTTCAGATATTTTTAAAATCTAAAATGATATATATATACATATAATATGTACATAAAATGATATATATATATACATATAATATGTACATATATATTTTTTCTTTTAGTTATTGTCTCTGGATGAAGAAATAGTTCTTGGCAAAATTTCAAAAAAGTGGGCTGGATTTATGATCACCAATGCTGATAAATTTGGAATCCAGTTTCCATTTAATCTTGATGTTAAGATAAAAGCACTGATGCTTGGAGCAAGTTTTCTCATTGTGAGTCTATTTTTATTTTATTTAGCTTAAAACTATATTTTCTGAGATTACCATTGTGTCTTTGCTAATATTTTTGCTCAAATCATCTATACTGATTGCAAATTGTACTTTTTGGTCTCCAAGTCCTCAAAATCATATCATGGATTCAGTCTTCACATTGCAAAAGATGTAAAAACTAGAGTGTCCTGTAAACATGATCACTGAAGTTAAAATCCTTGCCTTGATGGAAGAACAAGACTAACTTGCTGAAAATAGGAATAAAATGGCTTGTTAATTGTAACTTACTGTTATTTCCTACGATTTAAAATTTTATAACTATCTTTTTGTAATCATTGTTAATTTGGAAACTACAGATATGTAGATATTTTAAAAAGGAAAATACTGCTCTTGATTATATTAGGGCCTTAGGGGCAAAATGAACATAAGAAATTACCTTCATTCTCTAAATATAATAAAATGATAGGAAATGGCAAGAGACATATGCAGGGCTGGGTCACACATTGCCTCATAAATAGTACTAAAATTTGGAGAAACAGGAAAAAAATAGATTAAGTAGCAGATTGAATATAGTTGAAGAGAAAGTTAGGGAACAAAGAAATACTGTAGAGAAAATGATTCATGATGTAATAGAGACAAAACAATATGAAAATCAAGAGTCACAAATATGATAAGAGAACAGGTAACTCCTAAAAAATTTTCAGAACCAAGAAATACAAATTCAGTGCATAAAGGGCAAATATCCCAAGTAATGTAATTTAAAATTAACATCTATATATAGATGTTAGGAGTGAAGCAGAAAAGCAGAGAAAAATAAGTAACCACAAAGGAAAGACAAATCACCTGTAAGCAATGAGACTGACAATTGACTTCTCAACAGAAACACTGAAAGCCAGAAGACAGTAGAATGATATCTTCAAAATACTGATTAAAAAACAATCTGAACTCTCAAATTCTATTTCTTCAAGACTGTATCTTAAAGATGAAAGTAAAATAAATACATTTGCATTTTAAGAAACCCAGAATTTTACAACACATAGATTGTTGTAAAGTGTTTATAGCACTTCAGGAAGAAGCATGCTCTGAAAAGGTACATCTGAAGTTCAATAATATTCATGAGCAAATAAAATGCTAACCATATTTGTGAATGTAAACATGTTTTTAATAATAAAATAATAGTGGGGCTCCTGGGTGGTTCAGTTCTTCAAGCCACCAACTTTGGCTCAGGTCATGAGTTCACCGTTTGTGGGTTCAAGCCTCATATCGGGTTCTGTGCTGACAGCTCACAGCGTGGAACCTGCTTCGGATTCTGTGTCTCCATCTCTCTCTGCCCCTCCCCTGCTCACCCTCTGTCTGTCTCTGTCTCTCAAAAATAAATAAACATTTAAAAAATAAATAAAAAATAATAACAAATATGTAATTTTTTGCAAAAAAAAGTAAAACAAAAATACTTAGCTAATAAAAATGTATGAGTTATCAGAAGTTATTAGAATTTAAATGGTCTTAAGGTCTTTGTATTGTTCAGGAGATAAGTAAAATGTGCATGTTAAAATGTCATGGGTAATGACTGAAGTAACATAAAGACTGTAAATTTCAAACTAGTATAGTGGAAAAATGGTAATAAAATACAAGAAAGCAAACAAACAAACAAAACCTATTCGGTGGAGGGAAGGGGAGGAGAGAAAAGCATAGAGAAAATTGGGACAAACAGAAATAGAAAATAATTATTCAATTATATCAAATATTAATTTAATATATTCTATATAATTTTTACAATAATCACAATAAATATAAATGGGAAAAACTTGCAAGTTAAAAAATAGAAATTGCTAAATTAGATTTTTAACATTTTTTAAAATGTTTATTCATTTTTTAAGAGAGAGAGAGAGAGACAAAGCATGAGTGGGGGAGGGGCAGAGAGAGAGAGGGAGACACAGAGTCTGAAACAGGCTCCAAGCCCTGAGCTGTCAGCACAGTGCCCGTTGTGAGGCTTGAACCCACCAACCACGAGATCATGACCTGAGCAGAAGTTGGATGTCCAACTGACTAAGCCACCCAGGCGCCCCTAAATTAGATTTTTAAATTATCCCTAGGTTCTTAATAGTCGACAAATCAAAATTAATGAAAAAAAAATGGAAAGAAAGAAAAGATGGGTAAATGTATAACAGAAAAATACTAACCAAAAAAGCTATTAAAGCTAGGGTAATATCAAAAAATTAGATTTTAATACCATAAAAACATTAGAGACAGAGATAGAGAAGGTGACTACATTATAATAAAAGTTCCATTCAAAAGAAACATGATAATTCTTGATTTTTGTGCCCCTAAGATCAATGTTATACAATATTTCTCATGTTTAACATTGAGAAAAATTATTTTGTTAGAGAATGACAAGTTCATCATCATAGTGGGAAATTTTGCACCCCTTTCAAGTTGTATTCGTTGTAGGAATCAGAAATTTAGTAAAATCATTTAAAATTTGAACAAAAAAGTAACAAGGTTGATTTAATGGATGCATGTAGAACTTTGTGTTACACAAGTAGATAAATAAGTTGTTCTCAAAAAAAGGTTTTTTCAAGAATTATTTTCATAATGGGCCAAGATGTAAGTCTCAACAAATTTCAGGGAACTGGTAATACTTGGACCTTGGTGTCACAGCAAATAACATTAAAATAGAAATAAGTAAAGATATATATTTTAAAATATTTTGTATATATGGAAATGTGTACATGACTAAGGAGTAAAAAGTAACACATAATAAAAATTTTAAATATATCAAATTTTATCATAACTAAAATATTACAAACCAAAACTTTTGGGATGCAAGTAAAGTTAAAGAGCAATGTATAATGGTAAATACTTACTGAAGAAAAGTGGAAAATTAATGGGCTAAGTATTCATCTCTAAAAAGTTAGTAAATGAACAGAACAAACCCAAGGAAAACATAAGGAAGGAGATGGCGAATTATTGACCAAAGATAAATGAGTAAACAGCACCCACCCCTGGTCTCTAGATGGAAAAGAATTTTAAAAGTAAATAAATTGCAAAGTAACAGACTACTAAATTATAATATCTTAAACTTCTGTACCTTAAAACAAATTATAATGTTAAATATTTAATAGCAAACAATAAAGTAAGGAAATATGTGCTTCGAATATGACCAAGGAGTAATATCCTTATATTAATATCAATTTTGTTTAAATGAGAAGAAAAATATCAAATTCCCAACAGAAATGGAAAAAGAATATAAAAAAGTAATTAATGTATCTATTAAAGAGTGAATATAAATAACCAATAACCATAAGAAAATGTTTTCAAAAACAAGAAGAAAGCAAAAAAGAAAAAAAACAATTTTTCATTTTTCTAATTAAAAACAAAATTTCATTTTGTCTAATGACAAAATCTCAATGCTGATGAAAGTTTAGGAAATCAGGTAATCATGAGCTATAGGTACAATTTAGAAAACAAACTGAAAACACCCATTAAAATTTTTAATGTTCATATATTTTATATGCATTACTTTCTTCTTTTTTTTTTTTTTGCATTACTTTCTTCTAAAAAACCTAATACAAATGCACATGATTAATTATGCGTACTCTTGGAAACAGCAATGTGTCCTCTATGTAACAAACATCACTCTAATAAATTAAGAAAGCTGAAACAACCTAAAATTTAAAGTATGAGATTTATTAAAAACACACTATGAGATATCTCTAAAACAGAATGTTAGACTCAAAACTAAACGAATTTTAGTGGTACAAATACTCAGTGTATATTATGCAGTAAAAATAGTAGTGGTAATATAATAAGCATATTATAATACCAATTGTGTGTGTATGGAAAGAATTTGAATCAAAATATTAGTGGTAGATTTTGGGGGGATTGGAAATACAACTTTTTTTTTCTTCTCTATTCCTAAACTTTTTAATATTTAGTATATATTATGAAAACATACATAAAAAATGAAGTAGAACTGGTTGCTGTTCTTTAGGGCCTTTATATCCAAATTTATTATTTTGGCGTGTTCAAGAGTAGACAAATATTCATTCTTATTCCCTTAGAAGTTGTCTTCTGCTCATCAGAATTCTTCTTTAATAGGTTTTATTAGCACGTTATTATAACACAGGACCCCAAAATCACTCTCATGTCTAAGGCCTGTACCTTAAAAACCAATCTAATCACATTTATTTTTCATTTTCTTTCTAGGACTATATGTACTTTGAAGTCTGGCCATAAGTTTTGCCAGCTTTCAGCAAAATTAAACAACTATCACTGAGAATATTTAAATAAAGTTTTCTTTCACTAAGATTATTTGTATAATTTTTTTCTGCATAATAAACCACACCACAATTTAAGAACTTGCAGAGATCATTTCATTTAGCCCAGGATTCTGCTGTACAGTTAGTTCTCCAGGTCAAGACCTAGTTCACTATTGCAAGGGCAGTCAGTTAACAGATTGCTTGGGGACCGTCTCATCCCAGATAGCCTCATTCATATGTCTAGCTGTTGTCCAAGGCAATAGGAGCAGCAAGCCACATATTTTACATCATCTAAGAGGCTAGCCAAAGCTTCTACACATAATGACTATGCTACAAAGGCATCAAGAAAGCAAGCTCAAATGTCCAAGCGCATTTCAAGCCTCTGCTTCAGTTATACTTACTCATGTCCCATTGCACAAAGCAAGTCACATAGTCAAGTCCAGATTCAAGAAATGGAAAAATAGGCTCAATTTCTTTATGGGAATCACTGTAAAATATTATTTATTTGCAGCATAATATATTATTGTGACATTGTATAAAGTCACAATTAATGTAACCATTAATAATAATAGTCACAATTATTTCATCCGCCCCATATGCCAAATATCCTCAGCCCTATCAGGACTCGCAAAGTTCTCTTTCAATTACAGCATCAGGTTCAAGTCCAGTATCAAGTGATCTGAATCTTTTGTGATTACTGAAGTGAGTGAATACAAAAGTGAATCCTTAAGTGAGGATACAGGACTATAGCTCCTCTTGATTCAAAAACTTCAAAACTAAAAAGATACAGGTAACAGTCAATAGTGAGCCAAGATCAAAATAACCATAACAGCGGTGCCTGGGTGGCTCAGTTGGTTGAGCATCCGACTTCGGCTTAGGACATGATCTCACAGTTCGTGAGTTCGAGCCCCGTGTCGGGCTCTGTGCTGACAGCTCAGAACCTGGAGCCTGCTTCAGATTCTGTATCTCCCTCTCTCTCTGCCCCTCCCCTGCTCATGATCTGTCTCTCTCTGTCTCTCAAAACTAAATGTTAAAAAAATTTGTAAACAAAATAATCATAATAAACTCATGGAATCCTCATAGCAGTCATTGGTTATTAGCAATTTTAGCATTGAGATGGGCACGTGTCAGGCACGTGTTACCAATTCCTCTTACTGTGGGGACAGAGAGTAGTCTGCTCTCTAGCAGTGGCTCTCTATTTTCTAGTGCATTGTTCTCCTTGGTTCTGCCTTCTGAGATTTTGGCTCTGCCATCTGATTTTTTTTTTTTCTTAATAAAATACCTGTGTTTCCAACTGAGTAGCATTTGTAGCCTTTTGCCTACCTACAGAAGGTTGGAGACAGAAGTATCTTTTCATCTTCAACTGTTTCAGTCTCTTTCAGTCTACAATTCTCCTGCTCCCTTAAAACCTGTGTGGCTTTCCATGTAGAAGATTCAGTCTACTCCAATGGAAAAAGCCACGCCACTTTTCTTTTTAAAACAGGCTTCTGTGTCTGGACTTACTCATGGCTAGACTAGCTTCTTTAGATGATGGATGAGTTTCAAAAGCAGCCAGGAAACACATGCTTATGCAGAAGCACTTTTCAAGCCTCTGCTTACAACAAGTTTGTAACCTCCCCCTTGCCAATCCAAGACACATGGCTAAATCCATATTCAAGGGATGTTGAAAGAGATCCCCCTCCTTAATCAAAGGTGCTATAAAATATTGTGGACATGTTTTTTTTTTTTTACAACCTACCACATTATTTAACAGGCGATGTTTCTTGATTTATGTTTGCTATAGACTGAATGTCTGTGTTCTTCAAAATTCAAATGTTGAAATCCCCAGTGTGAAAGTATTTGGTGGTGGCCTTTGGGATAGGATTAGGTCATGAGAGTGGAGCCTCATGACAATGGTGCCCTTTTACGAGAAGTGCCAGAAAACAACCTTGTCCTTTCACCATGTAAAAATTTAGCAAGGAAACAGCCAACTATGAATCAGGAAGTGGACCCTCACCAGACTCTTAATCTGCCAGGACTTGATATTAGACCTCCCATACTTCAGAACAGTGAGAATACACCTCTGTTGTAAATAAGCTACTCAGTCTACGGTGTTCTATGATAACACTAAGTCTATGAATAGACTAAGACAGTGTTACCTGTGAAATAGTTTTTCATATGTGATTTTATTTTTTAAATTTTCATTGTGTAGTTAACTAATAATTATTTATGATGCCTCTTAGATATGGTTGATTTCAATGAGGGATATTCCAAAGAACAGGTCATCCTATATCAGAACTGCACAGATACTATCCTAACGGAACCAAAAGGGATAAAGACTCAGTGAAATCTAATAACATGAGGACTATTTCCACATGAAGGTTACTTTTCCTTCTTACAAAAAGTGTTGGATGGAACAGCTCTTGTCATCAGGGCTTGCCATTTTATGTTCTGGATAAATCCTGTCCCGGTGATAGGGATCTCTGTATGCAGAAGAGCAGGTCTTTGTTTGCAAAACTGATGCTTTGAATGGATGTTACCTAGATCATTCTAGAAAGATGAAATAAAAAATTTGAAGGAGTCAAAAGTGGCTCATCTTAAGTCATGCACTCCCTTTCTGTGATGCAGAGGTAAAGGGATCCACATGTATGCCTGAAATGTTTATTTGGTACTGTGGCCTGGGCGATTCACATATAGAACACCATATTCTCCTGCTTTCCAGATGACTACAGGATCTCGGTCTATGAGCTTTTCCCCAAGTATTTATATTTTGTAACATTCCCCACGAGTCTTCACAAACACCTTTTAGTGGGAGGATAGTCCACACACCCTTAGAAAAAAAATACATGAGACTGAATTCTCTTAGTGAGAAAAACTTGGAACCAAATTAATTTAAAGAAAAGTAACATGACATTTTTACTCTAAAGTTTTGTGCAGCGATTTCATTTCCACATTATCTATCTCATTCACAATTCCTTCTGTGAAACTTATCTCCCTGCAATGTCTGGAAGACACATCCAGTTTTCTCCTCTTCATCCAGCTCTGATTGGATCAGGGTTTGGCATCAGGGGGAAGGTACTCAGTCCCTCTAAATTTTATATATATAGGGAAAAGTACCTACTTACAGTATTGTTTGGAACATGAAATTGGATAATTTTTAGCACAATGCCTGGTACGTACTGAATGCTTAATATATATTAGACAGTGTTATTAGAGCCACATCTAACTGAATGTTGATAATTCAGATATCCGCATATCCACGATGGAACATTAGTAGATGAAGAAATACTAACACACTGTTCACAAACTGGTATCTTGTTTGCTTGCCTCAATTTATAGAGATATAAACACTTTTTAGAGGAGAAAGGAGTTTTGTCTGAAATTGTTAAGAGAATGTTAATTGAGATAATTGAATATTCCTGCTTTTGATTCAGTCATGTATCCAAAGACTAAGCACAAAGCATTAAATTTTCAATTCTCACATTCCAGTACAAGATTCTAAACTATTTATGCAGGATATGCTACAAGAAATGAATTTGTCCTCAATTCACAACTTCTCAAATACATCTCAGGCAATAAAACAGTTACAGGAGAAATAGGAAGATGAAGTATAAGCTATGGTGTCTCTTACCAGTCTCATCCTTTAGGATTTTGGCATTGGGCCAGAACCTGGTAAAACTGACCAAGAAGAGACCATGTAGGCATTCTGACACAGGTGAGATAGTTTCAGGGACAAAGTTTACCCCTACTTTTATAGATGATGTGATGCTCTTCTAACACCCTGAGGATTGGACGCTTACACAACACCTACACCCGGGGTCCTTGATATGAATGCTGACACTCATAACAGGTTATGGCATAGTTCAGATGATTTTAGAGGTCAATAAATGGAAGTGAGTGCACAAGAATCAGGGAACAGCATGCAGTGGGGGAACTAACAGGCAAATACTGCCTTTTGAAAACACATGGAGTGCCTCTAGAGTATACTGTCTGGTATGACTTGATGACATTATGAGGAGTGGCTGTGGGAGTAGCGAGGTCCTACTAATAGCTGGTTAGAAGCTATTGAGCCAGTAGGCATTTGGGTTAAGTATTGTTATTGTTATTGCTATTGAAATAACAACTACATAAACTGGAGTGAGTTTGTGGTGTATTTGTTTTCTGAATGTGAAACTGCCAAGAAGCAGCATTAATGGGGTGACTCATTTTTAAAAAATTATTGAATATGTGAATATGTGAGACTCACATATGCTCACACAATTATCAGCCAGTGAGCACATTATCATTGATAGGGAGCAAATGGGATTTTTAATTGCTTAACAGAACCAATCCAACAGAATTTTAGAACAGGCAACTGGAATTTTAAAACATGCTTCAAAGTAAGATATAAAGGGTTATAAAAATATATTACCTGTTAGTCTCACCAACTATGCATGTGGCTATGATGCCCTATCACTCTCTTGAGAAAAGTAGATTATGCTAGAAAATGTTTTCCAAGTCATCCACCAAAATAGTTTACTGACAGTTGAGTGCTGATGTTTTTTGGGAAACCCCAGAGCTCCTGTTTATTAACTTCTGGCCATTCACTAAAATAATGGTCCTCAGACTTTAGCATGCATCAAAATCATCTGAAGGGATTACAAAATTCAGATCACTGTACCCCAACCCCGAAGTATCTGATTCCACAAGCCTTGGAAATAATTTGCCTTTCTAACAAGTTCCCAGGTGACACTAGTGCTATTGCTAATGGGGACACACCTTGAGAACCTTTGCACTAGAATACATTGCCAGGTTTCAGCGAGAATTCTGTGAGCTGTTGAATGGACCAAACTAAGCAGATCATAAAGGCCTATTAAACATTTTAGAGAACCACTGGACTCATCCAAATGGCTCTATTTTTAAACATCATGATTGTTTGGTTAAACATCATGCCATCTTCTGATACATAGTGCAGAATGCATAATTGATTGAATAAAACCATAACATTTTTGTCAACTCATAAGAACTGTCACTGAGAATTTTCCCATCTCTAC